ATAGCATCAACATCACAGTCTTTACTTGCATTCTTGACTATCTTAAGAATACACCTCTTGTCTCTGTTGTCAGTAGCATCTGGCAAACACCTGACCTCTTTTAAAACCTCCATATCCTTTCCTAAATTTACAAAGTTGAAACTTTGATTTTTGTTATTTGGGTGTGTTTTTCTATCAGCACTATCAGTCACTCAGAAGATTGTCAGACCTCTTAGAGAAGGGGGAGAACCATCTAGCTATATCTGCCAGCCCTTCTAGGCAAAAAAATAAATAAATAGTCTGAATAACTGGATGCAAAATACAAAGCAGAAAACGAAAGTCAAAGAGCTGAAAACATTCTTGTCCCAGACTAACCAATAGGATAATCAATATTGAAGGATGTTTTTGATATTCCATGACATGCAAAGTATTCCTGATTTCAGATGATTATCTTAACTTTTAAATTGGGAACTACTGCTTAATATAATAGTTACTATACGAACTTTGTTTTTCTTATATAGCCGAGGTGGCGCAGTGGTTAGAGTGCAGTACTGCAGGCTACTTTAGCTGACTGCTAGTTCGGCAGTTCGGCGGTTCAAATCTCACTGGCTCAGGGTTGACTCAGCCTTCCATCCTTCCGAGGTGGGTAAAATGAGGACCCGGATTATTTGGGGCAATATGCTGACTCTGTAAACCGCTTAGAGAGGGCTGAAAGCCCTATGAGGCAGTATATAAGTCTAACTGCTATTGCTATTGCTATTATAAACATCACATTTTATAACTTGCCTTAAGATATGTAGTGAAAGAGGAAGAAAGAGGTGACCAGAGCAACAGTGCCATCTAGAGGGGAAAGTGCAAACTGGAAGATACAAGAGAGAAAGAAGGGAAGTAGCCTTGAGAGTCTGTGAACTAAACTGATAAGAAGTTGTTTTGTCTGAAAAAAATAAGATATGGAGTGGAATACTGAAATCTTTTTTTAAAAATAGTGCAGCACTTGGAACTTAAAAGGGAAATGTATGACAAAACTGCACAAGGGACTTCCCTTGCTTTTTGAACAAGGTTTTTCTTCTTTTTTGGTTGCTGCTCTGTAAACTCTCTTTTTGGATATAATTGGTGATTGTATTTTTGAGTCTTGGTGAGCTGATTTGGATTATAAATTGCTATTTTATCAACTTTTTTTCTTTTTTGTGACAAATCTCACTGCTGTTTTGTGAACTTTCTTTTTGAAGATAAACAACTGGTGGATATAATTTTTGCAGTTTGGTAGACCAATTTGGATTACAAATTACTACCAGAGGTATATTTGGATTAGGGTTTGAAGAACCTAAAGACAAGAAGTATTCCATAAAATTGGATTTGGATTACAAATAATAATTTCATCTTTCCCTTGGATTATAATTGAATTACGTTACTGATTTTTGGTGGATTACAAATACTAATATATTTAAATATGAAGAAAAAAACCTCAGCACCTTCCTCAGCATCCTTGTTGGTGGCTTCAAGCCCCACTGGTCAGAGAACATGGGATGTCATGCTTCAACAGGAAAATACTAATGTTGCACAAACAGAATTAAAATCCAAGATACAAGCTCTCCATGGTGGCATGAAGAAAAGTATAGGGAAAGTAAAAGAGAAAATAGAAAAAGTAGAAGATAAGTTAGAGAACCTCCAACAAATAATGGTGAAAAATGAGCAACGAATACAAAAAGTAGAAGAAAAAGTGGAATCAACAGAAAAAAGTGTGGGAGAGCTTGGCTACATATTTACAACAGCAGACTCAAATAAAGAAAAAACAATAATAACCCTGGAAATGGATAGAGCAGATTATTACTTAAGGTTTCAGAAACATGGAAGAAAAGGGAGAAAATTTAATGGAGATAATGACAGTTTTATTAGCAGGGACATTGGAGGAGCCTAAGGAAAAAATCCTGGCCAATATTGATGAAATATTTAGAGTGTAGACTAGATATGCGATGAGAAATAAACTTCCTAGAGAGGTTCTTGTCAGATTCAAAAAGAAAGCAATAAAAACAAAATTTGCAGAGAAAGAGAGATGATCCTTTGAAATATAAAGGGAAAGAAATAGTGTTCCCAGAAGATTCCCACAAATTCCCAGAAGAGTTAGAAAATTAAGAAGAGTACCAGTTTTTGACAAAGTGCTTAATTAAAAAAGGAGTGAACTTTAGATGGCTGATACCAAAGGGTGGGCTTCAAAAATTAGCAAGGGGTTCTCTGCCTGGTTGCTGGGTGGGCATGGCCATGGAGAATATGGCCTAGTCGGCCTCCTGCACCACAGTGGCTGGTGTTTTTGCTCTCCCCAGGCTATGGAGGCCCTCTAGAGGCCACAAATGGGCCCGTTTCTGGTCTTTCCAAACTTCATGTAGGCCCATTTTTCACCCTCCTTGAGCCTCATATGTGCCCTGCACTTACCTGCATCCAAAAAGGGCTGTGTGGTGACTCTTGGGCGAGGAGGTGCAGGATGGGATGGGTAGGGGCAGCCAGGAGTGGGATTTGGGGGTTCTCTGAACTGCACAGAATCTTAGCTAGAGGTTCCCCCAGACCTCTGGGAACTCCCAGCAGCCTGCCCCTGATACCAGAAGGAATATTGGTGACTTGGCAGAAGCAAAGATACAGATTGGACTCAATAGAGAAGGCGGAACAATTTTATAGGGTTTCCAGCCTAGACAGGGGGTTGGACTAGAAGACCTCCAAAGTCCCTTCCAACTCTGCTATTGTATTGTATTGTATTGTATTGTATTGTATTGTATTGTATTGTATTGNAGTGGAAGATTGGACCATGTGATGGACTTGTGGGTGTGGGGGCAAGATCTTGAACTTTCAATTGGGTGGGGAAAACCAGGAAGTTTTCAGATTCAGGTTTTCCCATATGTGCCAACATGACTCTCTTAATAAAATGGAACGTTGAGCAATACTTAGCCTTGGACTCTGATTTAATTTTGGATGTTATTTGGAACCCTGACACTTTCTTTTTCTTATAAGTATTGCATTTTATACCTTGCTTTGAGACACATAGTGAAAGAGGAAGAAAGAGGAGCAGTGCCATCTAGAGGTAAAAGTGAAAACTGGAAGATATAAGAGAGAGAGAAGGGAAGTAACCCTGAGAGTCTGTGAACTAAATTGATAAGAAGTTGTTTTGTCTGAAGAATTAAGATAGATAGCGGAACACTGAAATCTTTTTTTCTGAATAGTGCAGCTCTTGGAACTTAAAAGGGAAATATAAGACAAAATAAAACTGTACAAGGTACTTCCCTTGCTTTTTGAACAAAGTTTTTCTGCCTTTTTTTTTGTTTTATTTTGCTGCTACTCTGTGATCTCTCTTTTTGGATATAATTAGTGATTACATTTTTGGGGTCTGGTGGGCCGATTTGAATTATAAATTACCATTTTATTAACTTTTTTCTTTTTGTTTTGTCACAACTTTCACTGCTGTTTTGTGAATTTATTTTTTCTTTTTGGAGACAAACAACTGGTGGATGTAATTTTTGGTGTTTGGTGGGCCAATTTGTATTACAAATTGTTACTAGTAATATCTTTGGATTAGGGTTTGAAGAACCTGAAGATAAAAAGTATTCTATAAAACTTGATTTGGATTATAAATAATAACTTTACCTTTCCCTTGGATTATAATTTAATTACATTACTGATTTATGGTGTATTACAAATACTAAGATATTTAAATATATAAACATGAAGAAAACAACATCAGCACCATCCTCAGTCTCCTCATCTGTGGCCTCTAGTACTGCTGGTCAGAGAACATTGGATGCCATGCTTCAACAAGAGAAGACAAATGCCGCTCAAGCAGAATTAAAATCTATGATACAAGCTCTCCATGATGACATGAAGGAAAGAATAGGGAAAGTAGAAGAGAAAATAGAAAAAGTAGAAGATAAATTAGAGAACCTCCAACAAATAATGGTGAAAAATGAGCAGCGTATACAAAAAGTAGAAGAAAAAGTTGAATCAACAGAAAAAAGAGTGGGAGAGCTTGATTACAGACTTACAATGGCAGACCAAAATAAAGAAAAAACAATAATGTCTCTGGAGATGGGTAGAGCAGATTATTATTTGATATTCCAGAATATGGAAGAAGAAAAGGGAGAAAATGTAGCGGAGAGAATGGCAGAGTTGTTGGCAGGGACACTGGAGGAACATAAGGAAAAAATTCTGGCTGATCTCACTGAAATATTTAGAGTGCATACTACATATGCAATTAGAAATAAACTTCCCAGAGAGGTTCATGTCAGATTCACAAAGAAAGCAATAAAAACAAATTTTACAGAGAGCAAGAGATGACCCTTTGAAATATGTTGTATTAAAACAAATTCTGAGAAGACTTAGAGAATTACGAAGAGAATACCAATTTTTGACAAAGTGCTTAACCAAAAAAGGAGTGAACTTTAGATGGCTGATACCAGAAGGAATATTGGTGACTTGGCATGAGCAAAGACACAGATTGGACTCAATAGAGAAGGTGGAACAATTTAATGATCAGTATTTGGGACCACAAGAGGAAGAGAGACTGAGAGAAGAAAGAGAGGTCAGAAGTCAAGAAGAACTCACTGAAGAAAGAGACACACAACAAAAGGAAGACGCAAGAGACCAGGAGTAAATAGCAGTAAGAGAAGGAGCAAGGGGAAGAGAAGTAAGAGAGATAAGAGCAACTAGAACAGCAAAACCCATCTTTAAGTAAACATCATGGAAGAAGAAATAAAGTTAATGTCAATTAGTGTAAATGGACTGAATTCGGCTATAAAAAGGAAAATATTCTTTAACTAGAAAAATAAAAATTGGACATAATTTGTTTACAGGGGAGAGGTGTGGCCAGTGTTGCAGCAGTACATGCGCGATCTCCGGGGCTCTGGAGAAGCAGCGATATCCTGTCGTTTTGGAGACCCCAGTGGAGGTCAGAACAGTCTCGTAGGGACGATGAGGAACAGGGGCATGTGCAGAAGTGAACGGGGGAACCACAAACCCCCTGGAGCACCAGCAATAGCTCCCGACCCAGCAGCAAGGAAGACAGCCATTGTGAGCTGTAAAAGTTGGGGTGGCCACACAAAGAAAGAGAAGAAAGCATGGTGGAGCATCTGGATGAGATCGTGATACTATCTTGGGGTACACTGTATTCAAAAAAAAATTTTACTCCCTGATTGACTGGAGAATATTAAAAAGAGAACAGCAAAAGGGAGTGGGGGAGAGTGGATTTTTGACCATCGCCCCACCCCCAGAAGTAGCAGCGGAGAAGCAAATGCCAATGTAAATAAATGAGTTATTAAACTTTTTGGGGAGGATGGCTTGGATAATAGAAAGCAGATTGGACAGAGTTGATTGCTATTGAAACTTTCACACCCCTATATTCAAAGAAGAGTTTTGGAACTGTGGAGCTTTTGCTTGTATTAGGATATAAACTTTGTACTGGAATTTATTTTTCTTTGGAGGATATCCTTGTCTTTTCTTTTCTTTTTCTACTCACCTACTTTCTTTTTCATTAGAGCTTGAGGGAACAAGATGGATTATTTTTATTTTTTTAGTAGTCTACCTTGACTTCATGTAGATTTAATTTTTTGTACTTGGATTTATTTTTTCACAGAAACTTTTCTTTTCAAACCAGCCTTTTTTTTTGTCTTTTTGTTACTCTCCACTTACTGGGTTTTTCTTTCTCTTTTTTCACCAGTGTTGGAGAGAATAAGGGTGATCAAAAACCTTTTTTATTTTGCAATTGTGGTATTTTTTCCTTTTTTCTTTTGAATTTGGTTTCTTTTTTTCTTTTTTCTCCCCTCTTCATCATAATTGGATTAGGGTAACAAGAACCTGAAGCTTTGACCATCAGATTTGAAATAGATGAATTTTGGATACTTGTAGATAAAAAGTGTTTTGGCGGGATGACCTTTAAAACTTGGTGTCAAGTATGCCTCCTTCAGTAACTAAGAAAGAAACCTCTCAACTCCATTGTTTAGAAATTTAAAGTACTTTTACTAGTTATGAATAGATAGCAGCAAAGTAAAGCAAGGTCTGAGTCAGAAAAGCACGAAAGCATACATATCAAACATTTGCCCAGCCCCCTCCCTCCAACAACCCCCACCCCATTGCCCAATGTGCAACTCCGTTAGGTGTCATATGGGTTGCATCTCCAAGAAGCATCATCAGGTTGGTATGCAGGACGGTTGGCCTTGACCAGGACCAAACATCGGCCATCAGCATGCGCAGAAGATGGTGAGAACAAAACTCTCTTTTTTACTATCCCTCCTGTACCATTTATTCCCATCCCAAATACCATGCCCCCCCCCGTTGCCATGGCAGCCGAAGCAAGTAAGCAAAGCAGAGGCTGACACTTGGATTACAAATTTGCTTGACCAATTAACAATGGCGACAGCATATAAAGAGAATTTGTATAAAATGTTTTACAGATGGCACATGCCACCTGAAAGCCTAGCAAAAATGTTTAAGGATAAATCAGCCAAATGTTGCAAGTGTCATCAATTGCCAGGATCATATTATCACATGCGGTGGATGTGTAGGGATGCAAGAAGCTATTGGGTGAAAATACGAACATGGTTAGAGAAAATGGTACATCAGTCTATAGAGCTTAGACCAGAGGTATTTTTATTGGGTATTCTACCAAAGAAATATAGCAAAGAGGATACATATTTGATTGTACATACAATAACAGCAGCTAGAATTGTATTTGCACAAAACTGGAAAGCAGATAAAATCTCATCAGGAGAGATAATAAAGAAGATATTAGATTGTGCAGAAATGAACATTGAGAATAAAGGACAAAGAGGAATCAGTGTACTACAGGACATGGGGGCGATTTTACAATTGGTTAGAAAAGCGATACAAATAGAAAGAGAAAGAGAAAGAGAAAGAGATAGATAGATAGATAGATAGATAGATAGATAGATAGATAGATAGATAGATAGATAGATAAATAGATAGATAGATACTTTANTAAAAGTACTCTTAATTCTGCAAAATGGAGTTGAGTGGTTTCTTTCTTGGTTATTAAGTGAAGCAGCCTTGACAATAGTAACTGCTTTACACTAAATCCCTTCTCTCCTGGTGACATGACCCAAATCAGAACTATTATTAAGAGAAGAATTCCCTGAAACAAATGTTCTGGATGCCTTCTCTATCCTGTTTACTTATATACCTCCATTTTATTATATTTTTAATGAATCATCCTCCTGGTGGGTTATTGGAGATTTGAACAGTTGCAACAGCACTCTAAACCTTACAGTATATTAGTTCATGTAATTAAAGTTTGTCCCAATAGGGGTTTAAATTATCTTTTTTCCCGAACTACTTGATGTAGCTGTATTTGTTTTTTGTTGTGTATTTTGTACGTTATGTAGAAGAGTTTTATAAAGCAAAACCTATGGTACACATCAACAATGCAGGAGAGAAGTGTGTGGAAGACAAATTAAGGCAGCATGTGATCATTTTCCTTGGGAGTTATTTGGCCTGAGCAGCTGCTGTGGCACACATTTTACTTATATTTTGGGTCAGAGAAGATGGTTGGGAAGGGAGGTGACATGCGGACCATCCCATCTCACAGCCAGTGAAATATTAAAGCAGAGATAATTTTAGGTCTCTCTAGGCTACATTATATGCACAGTGCGTGCTAACCATGCTGTCTCTAAATGCCCAATACATTACAGAATTCTCAATTTACTGTGCAGATGGCTGTCGCAGTTGTTTTTCATAGCATTCTTTAATGCTATTTGCTGCTACGTGGGAAATGTTGTGACAGGTACAATACTGCCATTAGTTGAGCTTGACTAATTTTGACCCATGCAGTGGCATTTCCGTGATACTTACAGAAATGCCAATCCACTTTTGGCTGAATGAAGATCACAGGACTCAATGCAATGACTTTTGAATCCCATGCTAACTTTAAATGAGATTAACGAGAGAACTACAACATTGGGCTGGAACGTAGATCTTTCTTGCACAACTGTTGGAGAAGCTCTTTCACCTCTGATCAGACTTTTATGAATCTTAAGAAACTCAGCTTCTGGATATTAAATATTGAGTTGGTAGTAGAATTGTAGGAGTCATCTTTGTGTTCTGGTAAATGACAGACTAAGCATGAATCAGCAGTGGAGAGCATCTGCAAAAGAGGTGCATTTTTTTGACAGTATTCACAAAGGTATAGTGTTGAGATTATGGGAAGTACCTGTTCTGCTCTATTCAGATCATATTTAGACTACTGTATCCACTTTTGGTCATAAAATAGAAAGAGGAAAGATTGTACAGAAGAATGGTGAAAATGATGAACGTGGAGACCAAATGCTATGAAGCATGATTAAAGAAATTGGATTCAGACTAAAGAAGAAAAGGCTAAGGGAAACATGGTAGTAATCTTCAAATACTTGACGGACTATCTGTTGTGGTTCGTTGACAATCAGAAGACTCAGAGAAGATGGAGTGGGTGCCTGGGTTGGTTCCACCACAAATCCGCGAAGCCCTTATCCGCGGAGACATAAGCGCGTTGCTAAAGCCGCGACGTCATCATCGTGCATGATCACCGCCGCAACAACAGCGCGGCAACAGAAGGGCACTTTAAAACGCCGCCGCGGCAGAAAGCCGATTTCCATTAAGGTAAGGCTTAGGATTAGGTTTAGGGGTTTGTTTTAGGGTTTGTTTTAGGGTTTGTT